GAGGAGGATGAGGAGGAGGAGGAGGAGGAGGAGGAGGAGGAAGAGTAGGAGGAGGAGGCGGAGGAAGAGGAGGGGGAGGATGAGCGCGACCTTCCCTGCACGACCCAACAGTGCGCCAGCCTGGCCGAGCATGCCCAGCGATGCCGCGCACAGAGCGCGGGAGGAGGGAGGAGGGCGAGGGGGAGGAGGAGGACGCACAAGGGGCCGAGCGGCCTTACCGTGCTCCGGAAGGAGAGGCGGTGCGCCCAGCGCGCGCGCACGGTGTGTGGTGGGGACGCGTGGGAGGACTTCGCTTTCGCTTTCGGGGGCGGGCCCCCCCCCCCCCTCCCTCTGGTCTGCACCTGTGCGGGCGGCGTGCTCCTCCCGCTCTCCTCCTCGGGCCTTTTCCACCTTCGGCCACGGTGCGCTCAGAATCGATTCCAGGAGCCCCGTGGCCTCGATCGGAGGGCGCCCACTTTTACAGCATCGTTTTCTTCTCTCCGCGAGGGACGCCCAGGAGGCGCCCAAAGCGAGCTTGAACCTCGATCCTGGAACCTCCTAGAGGTTGGCACGCGCGCTCAAGGGGGTGGCTCGAGGGAGGGGGGCCTTCTGAGAGGGCGGGGGGGGCTTCTCAGAAACCACGGGGCCATCCTGGAAGGGCCCGGGAGAGCTTTCAAGGAAGCCTTCCGAGGATCCTGAGAGGGGGCTTCTGAGAAGCCCCCCTGCCTTCGTAGACGGCCCCCCCCCGGCCTCGTAGACGGCCCCCCCCTCCGCCTCGCGCCACCCCCCTCTCTCGTGCGCCGCCGAGTTTCGCTCGACGTGACCCTGCGCTTTCCAGTCATAGCTCGGGTCTCCCGCGGCCGCTGTTGAGCATGCGGGCGCCTCGGGACCGCGCTCTCGGCGAGGCGCGGCGGCTGGAGAGCGCCCCGAGGCAGGACAGCTGCCGCGAACCGACGAAACCGCCCGACCACCCCGAACGTCGGTCGATCGATCCCCCCCCCCTGGTGCGTACTGTCGGGGCGTTGACCTAAGGAACAATAAATAAGGAACGAAGCCCTTTATCCCAAGGAATAACGCATAAGGAACGATAAATAACAAATAACGCATAAGGAACTGAACTGTAAATAACGCATGCAAGCCTAAGGAACGACCGAGCCCCTTTTGAAAAGTAAGTGCTCCTTACTCAAGCCGCTCACTGTACTTACCGTCCAGGGGGGGCTGCCTCCGGTCCTTCCGCAGCCTGATCTTCGTGAGGGCGCGCCAGACCTCGCCCTCCTCCTCCGCGGGCAGCTCGTCAAGCCTCGGCCCCCCGGGGAGCGCCGAGCCGGCGTCCGAGGTGCCCCGAGCTGCCCCGCGAGGGCCTCCGACGTGCCACCTCGCAGAGGCCTCGACCTGGCCCTGGGCCCTCCCAGAAACGACTCGGACGACAAGCGGGTCCCACGCTTGCCGTCGCTCGGACGTCCATTTCCCGTGCATTTTTCGGTTTCGTGCGTGTTTTTTTTTGCTCGATGGTCCAGGATGTTCCTCGACGGTTCCCGCCGAGGAAAAAATGCACACGTTCGAACGATGCCAAGCACGGGAGGGGGTCGCGACCTCCAGAAGCCCACGCTGAACAGGTCACGGCGTCGGGGGCTGCCCGGCGACGGCCGGCAGAGTGCGCTCCGCTGGTCCAGGCGTTGCCCTCTTGGGCCCAGCGTTGTCTCCAGCACTGCCCCAGGGCTCCAATGCGGCCCTAGAAGCTCCCAAGGATGCTCCCGAGGTGCCCAATCAATTTAAGTGCAACTTGTGTTTCAATGACTTTCGTACCGTTTGGGCTTCCGATGGGCCCATCAAGCCTTTACACGGCCCCAAGATAATCAAGAGGGCATTACGAGGAGCCCCAGAAAACCTCAAAAGTGCAAACGCTCCCGATGGCATCCAAAGAGAGTCCTAAGAGGGTGACGAGAGGGTCCGAGGAGCGCCAGCATGCTGCAGGAGAGTCCCAAGAAGTCACCACGGGTCCCCAACTACTACCCAGACGCCCCCAGGAGGCCTCAAAACGCCCCCAAGATGGCCCACTGAGGCCGCCAAGTCAGTTTCAGGGGTCTTAGAGACTCAAGAGTGATGCAACCTTATCAAATATCTTCCCTTGATGGTTTCAACAACGGCTGGGGGAGCACGCAACTCAGCAACTTGGCAAAACTTTGGCCCAAAGATCGCCACGCAGGCGCTATCAAAAAGACAGGCGGGCTCGCTGGAAGCACCTTCGATCTTTTTCCAACCCTCTGCAACCACGCCTGCCAGAACGGCCGTATCCAAAGAGGCCCCCGAAGGGTGAAACACTCGCACGTCCCAATCGAGGTGCGCGATCCACCGCGCTCACAACGCAAAAGAAGTCCCGACGTCCATCGCCCTATCTGGAGGAAGAAATTACGGCATAAACGTGACCTTTCGGAGGTCCGCGCGGAGTTCTTGGAACGGCGCTGGACCCCCTGGCGACGCCTCTGGCGCCGACACTGGCGCGCTCTTTGCGAGCCCGGGAGGGGGGCCCAGCGCCGCTCCGAGACATCCGCGCGGCGCTCCGAGAGCTTGTGCCCGTGCCGCTCTTTGCCCCCTCGGCCGTAGCAGGCGGCCTTAAAGTGCAGAGGTCCCGCGCTGAGACCATGCGCCGAGGGGGCAGGCCTTCTCAGAAGGCGGCGGGGCTCTTCAGCAGCCCTCTGGCTTCTCTCAGAAGCCTTCCGGCCTCCTCTGAGAAGCCCTCCGTGGCTCCGGAGAAGGCTTGGGAAGCTCCTCAGCAGGACGGAGGCCTCCCGAGCCTCCGCACAGCCCTGGGATCGGACCTTGCGAAAACGTTCCAACATCGCGGGAAATCGCGATTTGAGCCCTAGACCCCATCTCTCCGTGGCAACTTTCGAGCAGGATCGATTTGTGATGGCCCTGGGGCCCGAACCAAGATAACACCGCCTGTTGTTGAAACATTGCGACGCCCAGATCTGAAACATTGCGACGCCCAGACGATCAGATCCTCCTCCTCCTCTCCTCCTATTCCTCCTCCTCCTCCTCCTCCTCCTCCTCCTCCTCCCTCCTCTCCCGCCTCCCTCCTACTCCTCCCCTCCTCCTCCCCCCTCCTCCTCCTCCATCCTCCTTCCTCCTCCTCTCCGCCTTCTCCTCCTTCTCCTCCTCCTCCTCCGCCGCCTTCCCCCCCCCCCCGGCGCGCCGCGGAGTCCCCGCGGGTGGACAAAAAAAGGCGCCGCCCTCGGGAGCGGCGTGGGCGCCCTTCGGCGCCCCAGATGCCGCCCTCGGGCCCGGGCGCGCCGCCCGAGGCGGCGCACGGAGCGATGGCCGAGCCTGCCCGTATAAACAACAGCTACAAAAGGCGAATTCGACGAGGAGGAGGAAGGAGGAGGAGGAGGAGGCGGAGGAGGAGGAGGCGGAGGAGGAGGAGGAGGAGGAGGAGGAGGAGGAGGCCTCGAAGAAGAAGAAGAAGAACCTCGAAGGAGCCCCCCCCTGCCTAAGGCCGCCCCCCTCGCACCACCCCCTCGTGCCGCGCCGCCGCCGGTGTTTCCTCCTGCCGCTGCCGCTCCCTGCCGAGGCCCCCCCCCGCGGCTCTCACCCGGGGGCTCCGCGCCCGCCTCGAAGAAGAACCTCGAAGGAGCCCCCCCTGCCTGAGGCCGCCCCGCTCGCGCCACCCCCTCGTGCCGCGCCGCCGCGGCTCCCTGCTCCTGCCGCTGCCGCTCCCTGCCGAGGCCCCCCCCCCCCCGGCTCTCACCCGGGGGCTCCGCGCCCCCCCCCCCCAACCTCGTCACGGACCAGAGCCTGGCGCACCGGGGAGCTGCTTACACGCACGCGGGGCACGCCTCGGCACATGAGAGTGCAAAGCTGCGCGCCCGTGCGAAAACAGGCGCCCGTGTACCAAAGCACACACGCACACACACACGCACACATACGCGCATGCACCTGCACACGTGCACCAACACATGCGTGCGCGCCGCACTGCACCACGACAAGGCAGGGGAGCGCCCGCGCAACAAGGAACACGCATTGGAGCTAAGTCTACATGCGGAATACACCGAAGCGCTCGTTCTCATCAAATGGCTCTCGGCTGCAGACCCGAAGGCACTGGGCCAGGGTCTTGCGCGTGTCCTGTGGCGCGATGATGCCGTCGTCCCAAAGCCGCGCCGTCGAGTAGTAGACCGAGCCTTCGCGCTCATACTTCTCCAGAGTTGGCCTGTTGAACTCTGCCAGGGCAGCAGCGTCCATCTGAGGCTTGCCCTCTCGCTTCAGCTGGTCCTGCTTCACCGTGGCCAGCACGCCCGCCGCCTGCTGGCCGCCCATGACGCTCACTTTTGCGTTCGGCCACGCGAACATGAAGCGAGGGTGATAGGCGCGTCCGCACATGGCGTAGGTTCCCGCACCGTGGCTTCCTCCGATGATGACTGTGATCTTGGGCACGGCCGCGCAAGCTACAGCGTTTACCATCTTTGACCCATCCTTGGCAATACCACCGTTCTCATATTTCTTGCCAACCATGAACCCGGTGATGTTCTGCAAGAACACGATGGGTGTCCTCCGCTGGCTGCACATCTGGACAAAGTGCGCACCTTTCTGTGCAGACTCGCCAAACAATATGCCGTTGTTTGCGACGATGCCGACAGGGTACCCATGAATGTGGGCGAATCCGCATACCAGTGTGGTAGCATAGCGTGGCTTGAACTCCTTGAAACGAGATCCATCCACGAGCCTGGCGATGATGTGGTGGACGTCCATCTTTTTTGAATTCTCCTCGGGCACGATCCCACCCAGCTCCTTAGGGTCGTAGAGGGGCAGCTCTGGCTCAAGGGCGGGCATCGCTGTGGTGGCGCCAGTGTCCCCTGCGGGGGGAAGCTACACAAAAATGGAGGCTCACCAGATGGAGCCCCAAGGCTTCATCCGGACCTGCTCTAGCTGGACCTGGCGTCGCCCTGCACGGGGCCAAATCCAACTGGGGGCCCACCGGATAGCGCCCTTCTCGGCTCCGACTGGACTTGGCGTCGCCCGATCCTGCGTGCAAGAGGAGCTCTCGCATCTGCCGGAGAGCATCTGCCTCGTCTTCGGCGAAGTGATCTGCAACTCCAGACTTGACGGTGTGTACCTCCGCACCCCCGAGCTCCTCCGCAGACACGTCCTCGCCGGTCGCGGCCTTCACGAGCGGGGGCCCCCCCAGGAAGATCGTGCCGTTGCCCTTCACGATGATGCTCTCGTCCGACATGGCCGGCACGTATGTGGGAGAGGAAGAACGACACACACGAAGGTCTACACAGCCCTTAGTCCACCCCGCCTGCTGTGCGCACTGGAGAAGTTTAGCGCTACTGCGCCGCCAGACCCCAGCCCCGCCTTTCAGCGCCCCCAGGCGCTTGCACCCCACGGCCTCAGTGCTGACCAAGGCGAACCAGCCCAGAGAGCTGGTGGAGGGCCCCAAGACTTCTCCAAGACGGCCCCAAGACCTTACCACACGCCCCTTGAGACCCAAGAGGGCCCAGGCAGCCCCCCCAACGCGCATCTTGGAGGCCCCCTGGAAGCAAAGCTTAATGCTCAGACGCCGGAGGTTTCTAAGACTATTCCCCGCATGTTTCCAAGAGCCCCACCGAGAGGCTCCGGAGAGGCCCCTAGCGGCCCAACAATGGCCTGAAGACTGCCCGCCCGAACAGCCCTCTGGCGGTCAACACCTTCCCCAACACCGTCCCTGAGACGGGCAGGCGCAAGACTAGCCCGAGCTAACTCCAAGATGGCCCGAGGATCCTCCCACATGGCCCCACTGGCCCCAGACGGCCCTAGGATCTCCCCGAACGGACCGACGACCCCAAAGGGGCACCCACGGAGCCTCCAAGGGATCGCCGAGATGCCCCCGAGAGGCCCCCCAAAGCTCCGCTACGCTCATCTGGTGGCTGGGGGAGGACGTCACACGTCACCGTCCTGTCTGCCTGAGGGATCAGCACGCTCATCTTTGCCTATGGGAGCAGCAGCAGCAGGGGGACCGAGCTGTCAGATGTTACGCCCGAAGCTATGATCAAGGCAAGTCCATCATATGAAAACATAATCTGGAAGTCTCGTTTTCTTAACTGGTGATCCAAGTCTCGTTTCATCAAAAACAGTGTACGTATGAACACTCGCGCAGGTGGTCTAACGATATCTTCTTTTCCTCTTCCAACAACCCCTCTTTCCTCCTGGGAGGGGTATCCTCCCCCTCCCCTCCCAAAGTTTTTTTGGGGGGAGGGGGTCGCGAGGTGTCAGAGGGTCCTTTTTCGCCCAAGATCGCTCCGAGAGGGCCCCCGATGCTGCAGGATGGCCTCCAAGATGCCTCAAGATAGTGAAGAGCGCTCAAGATGACCTCCATCGTGCCTCCAAGATGCTCCAAGAGGGCCACAAGACAGTTCTAGGTGCTTTTGGAAACCCCTTAGGACCTCCCTGAGAAGCCACAATCAGTCAAATGCCGAAGGACAAATCACTGTTTGTTTGCCTTCTCGCCTTTTCGCTTCCGATGCGCTTTTGAGGCCTCAAGATGGCCCCAAGATGGCCCAAGAGAGCTCCAAGAGGGTCCCAGGACGCCCCCAAGACGGCCCCAAGACCGTCCAAGATCGCCTCAAAAGAGGCCCAAGAGCGCCCCGAGAGGTCATGTTTAGGCCTCATCAGGTGGGGGGGCTCGATGGAGGACCCCCCCTCTTTTTGATCGATGGCCTCCAAGATGGCCCCAGGAGGCCCTGCGAAGCTCCCAGTAGAGCTCCAAGAGAGCCCCAGCAAGAGGGCCCCAAGAGGGCTCCAATACCCACCAAATAGAGACCCAAGAGGAAGAGGCCTCTGGCCCATCTGCTCGCCCCTCTCCTCCTTCTCCTCCTTCTCCTACTTGTTTCTCCTCATCCTCATCAGCCTATTCCTCCTCGTCCCTCCTCCCTTTCCCCCCCGCCACCTCCTCCTCCTCCTCTCCTCCTCCTCCCTCCTCCTCCTCTCTCTCTCCTCCTCCTCTCCTCCTCCTCCTCCTCCTCCTCCCTCTCCTCCTCCTCCTCCTCCTCCTCCTCCTCCTCCTCCTCCTCCTCCTCCTCCCCCCTCTTGGGATACGGCGGTTTCTCCAGCTCTTTGATCCTCTGCATGATCCTCTACTTCCCTGAGCAGGGCGACTCGTCTGGGCATCGTCTCTGGATAGACGGTGCTCTTCCATAGACTGGCTGCTGTAGGATGGACTGGTGGGGATTCTCTTGATCGCAAGCGCAACGGAAGACGCCGGGCGCCGTCAGAACGAAGCGTCACTGCAACGGCCTAAAAGCTAGTGGGTATTCGCGAAACGTAAACAATATAAACCATGTTCGTGGTCGGTGCCGGCCTCCATCGCCTACCCTAGAGTCCAGATCTTCTTACATATGCCAAACAACTCAGGTTATCCATGGCCGGCAGAAGAGAACATCTACTTTGTGCCGCCCTTTCGCCCTCGATACAAAACAACATCTCACATGTTACGGCCACCTGGAGCCTGAGGAGAGCTCATGTCATGGCTCTATGAACCCTGGGGAAGACCCACTGCTTTCCACGAGCCGGGGGGAGACACACGTGACAAGCTGGGGCCCTGTCCACGGGGAAAGCGGGCCGCCACGTGTTGCGGACGCCCTTCGTGGCCCGTGGGGCCCACGGCCTGGTCCTGCAGGCCATGCGGGAAATAGCTGTAACACGCTGCTACATTTTCTGGCGTGGGAAGGAGAGCAGTCACACGTCGCGGCCTTCTGGGCCAGGGAAAACGACGATTCCTTCAAAAGTCGGGCCTGTCCTCCTAAGGGGGAATTGTGGACGACAAATAAAACATGGTCAGACAATACCCCATAATGGTCAGACATGTTCCAAACCCGTCCACAATTTATCTTTGACTATGTAGGAGGAGGAGGAGGAGGAAAAGGGGGGAGGAGTAGGAGGAGGAGGAGGATGAGGTGGAGGAGAAGGAGGAGTCGGAGGAGGAGGAGGAGGAGGAGGAGGAGGAGGGGGAGGAGGAGGAGGAGGAGGGGGAGGAGGGGGATGATGATGGATGATGATGATGATGATGATGATGATGATGATGATGATGATGATGATGATGATGATGATGATGATGATGATGATGATGATGATGATAAGGAGGAGGAGGAGGAGGAGGAGGAGGAGGAGGAGGAGGAGGAGGAGGAGGAGGAGAGGGACAGGCCCGACTTCAAAGATGCCTGCTGGGGCCGCCTGGGCGGCTCTGGAGGGGCCGGCACGCAGAGCGCTGCGCTGGCTCGGTGGAAGAACCTGCCACGAGGACCCCGGGCATACCTCCAGGACCACCCCTCGGGTGGCAAGAGGGTCGGGGAGGGGGAAGCAGGGGGGACAGCACAGGTCAAGGGGCCCAAGGACACACACACACACACATAAATACACACAAATAAAAGGGTTCCCCGTGTTTTCGTATATTTTCTGGGTTTTTGTCTTGCCCTCACTTCCCATATTTTCCCATATTTTCTCGGGGATCGACGATTAACTGTGTCTGTGTTTTTTCCCCTCCTGAACAGGGTAGGGTAGAGAATCAGCTCGCGTAGCTGATCTTCCCAGCGCCTCCCGGCGCCGGGAGGCGCCCTACGTATCCAGGAATGAGCGTCGACGGCGGGGCCGAAACCGGCTGCATGCAGCAGATTTCGTACCCCCCCCTCCCTTTCCCTATCCCCCCCTTTCGTTCGACCCGCAACAAATCGGATTGTAGATCGGGCTATCTAGCTAGCGATCTCCCAGTCTTTCGATCTCACGATCTCTCAATCGATCCTACTGCCCAAAATCCGCCGACCCCACTCTGCCCTTGTCCCTGGGCCCTTCTCCTCAAGCGATCCAGCCAGACGGAAATCGAACAGCGCTGTAATCCAGCCGAGAGAAGGGAGCCCCTTCCCTTTGATCCCTTCCCCGCCTGGGGGGGGCCGCAAGGGGGGGTACCAAGAGGGGTCCTGGGGGTCGTGACCCCCCCCCCCTTCTCCGACAAAGCCGGCCCAAGAGAGCCCCACGGAGCCGCAAGAGGGGGAACACCGACCGAGTCGAGGTGAAGGCCCTTGATCCCTTCCCCGCTCGAGGGGGGCGGTGCCGGGAGGGGATCGCCGGTGGCGGTCCTGGGGGGTGTTCCCATGGGGGGGGGGTCCAGAGACTAACGGGGCCCACAGGGGCCCCCACGAGGGCTCGCGAGCGTCGTCGTCGTCGTTGTCGTCGCCGTCGTCGTCTCCGTCATCCCCCTTCAGGGTCGGCGGCACCGGCCGTAAGGTCTTCGCAAAATCCATCGGTGTCGGCCTCACTATCTCTATCTACATAATAACCATGACCTCTACCGATACAAACATTGACGTGCACATGCACATACACAGCTATACGACCACCCTTCGGGTGATACGAGGTCTCGGGGGAAAGAACCAACTGATGGCAACTGCGATGGTTGTGCTGCTGACGATGCTGATGATGCGTCCTCAACTGGCGACGACACGTGATGGCGATGCTGCGTCGCGATGTGATCTCTCTCTATCGATCTCACTTTCGATCTCGCTATCGGCCCCGCTCGATCGACCTCACCATCGATCAATCTCACTATCGATCTCACCGAATCGATCTCACTATCGACCTCATGGCCAATTTCACTATCGATCCCACTATCAACCCCACCATCGCTGGCAGGGCCCGGCGGTCCGTGGCCGTGAGACTAGCACTGCAACGCTGGACATCAACAGCACCCCTAAAAGAGCGGACATGCGGATGCGCACAGACAGGCCGAAATGGCAGCGGCGGATACCGAAAGCCGGAATGGCAGCGGCGGACACCAGTCGGGACACCGACGACAGCGACGGGACAGCGACGGGGCAGCGACGGGAGCGCGACGGGACAGCGACGGGATAGCGACGGGACATCAACAAGGCACTGACGGGACACCACGGCTGGACAACCCGGCCACCGCCCGCCCACCGGGGGAGGTTCTGACAATTGTCTTGCCCGGCCCCAGCAACAGCGGAGTCATTCCTCTCGCCTGCCCACGCAGCTTCGCCTCGCCCGCACGCACGATACGAACCCGACACCGAAACCGATTTTCCGGTGGGGGTCTCTCCGCTCCACTTCGATCTCACCCCGAACCTCCGATATGTATGTATGTGTGTACGTACGCATGCATGCATGCATGCCTGT